TTCTTCGCCCTCCTCGTCATCTTCGGGGTCCAGTATTTCATCCTCTTCTTCCTGTCCGTAGTCCGACTCCAGGTCTGTTCCTGCATCATCATCTTGGTTGTTGCTGAGATTGCGGAAATGGGTAATGTCGTAGTCCCCGCCGGTATCGTCGGCCTCGTGCTCGGCTTCCTCGTCGCTCTCTTCGCTGCTCTCGCTGCTACTACCACTGCCCACGGGACTGCTCTCCTTTTCTATGCTTGCGGCTTCTTCGTCTCGCTCATGACGTCTCTCGGCGTATGTTCTCGATGCAAAATTCTCCTCGGGGCCGTCTTGGTCTTCCGACATTTGGTCCTCCTCTACCCTAAGTGCTTCTTCATCCTCAGCATCGTCTCTCGCCTGACGCTCGCGGTCATCTTCCCATGTCTCGCCTTCGGCGTCCTGAGGACTAGACGCCCGGCCCTCATGCATTTCGCCAGACTCTGCAGGCTTCGCGGGCGATCTTGAGTAGTGTGCCGACGTGAGTCCCCATGGTATTTGCTGAGGCTCAGCGACCCCATCAACCATGACTGTGCGGTGGGGCTGCGCCTCCAGATCGTGATGCTGCGGGTGGTCTTGGTACGCGAGTATCGGTTCTGCCAGCGGCTGCGACGTGACGACACCGTCTGGGCCGAAATGTGGCTCGTCGAGGAACGCCGCGGGGTAGTGGCCATTCATAGGCGAGTGATCAAGCCCTGCCTCTGGGTACGCACTGGGGTGTTCGTGAAACGGCCCTTCGGCACCGTAGTGTGGCTCCATGTCGTGGCCAAAGACCGGATCGAGAGGCGGCTGCTGAAACGCCGTCGGGTACTGCTCGTGGGCGGACGTGAACATCGGCATAGGCGGCGGCGGTCCAAATCCAAGCGGAGTCAGCCCAACGTTGGGACTGGGAGGCAGATCAGACTGAACCCCTGAATCGATCATTGTCGACTTCGACGGCGCCTGCCAGTACGAAGGGTCCTGCCGCGCCTCTGCTGCTACCTGGACGTCTCTCGGGGGGCTCGTCTCTTGCTCCACTGTCTGGCAGGCCCCGTCCACCATCGTAGGCCGTGACGGCGTGGCAACCGTCGGCTGCTCCTCAACCATTGATGTGTCTTCTTCCGCGGATGCTTCAGGCTCAGGGCTCGGAGTTCGACTGGCGTATGTCCAAACGCTGCTGTACCTGCCCGTCTTTGGCTTCTTCTTGGCCCGGGCCTTTGCTCCGTCGTCCGCCTCATCAAAGATGTCGAGGCCCCCATCGAACAACGATCCGTACGAAACCCTGGCACGCTTGAGGAACGCGGGGGACGCAAACTCGTCGGCGCCAAGACCTTGATCGGCGGCTCTCTTGCTCAAAGGTGTTTTCGCGGGTGTCGCTATCGGCCCCGGGGTCTCTTCGACATCCTGGAACGTTTCGAGGATAGACACCGGTAGCTCTTCAGGCTCTGGCTCGGGTTGTGCGGGGTGGTCGACATCGATAACCTTGACCTCTTCGGAGTCGCTTATTTTCGCCTTTGTTGTCTTAGCAAACACCCCCTCCAACACACACGCTTAACCTACCTGGAGAAGCACCCTCTCCGTAAACCTCAGCTGCCACTCCAAACTCGTACCCGGAACGCGCGTCTTGGAGTCGTCCGCAACGAGCTCGACCCCGTCCAGCGACAGCGCAATCTCGTCGCCGCTGCCCAGAGCCGCATCCGCAATCGCTTTGGCGCTCGAGCCGGCAAACTCAACGCGCACCTGGCCCTTGGCGCGACGCAGGCGGAAGTCGGCCTCGGCGAGGAGGAAGGCAATGTTCTTCCTAACGATGCTGTAGGGCCATGTGATTGTCACGACGCCCCGAACTACGCGCGTCTTGGGGTCCTGGAGCGCGGGGCTCAGTTGCGCGATCGCGATGGCCTCGGCGGCTTCGAGCTGCTGCTGCGCTGCGGGTTGCGGGACCCCAGACATCGCGTCATGAGTTTGAAGGGGACGCGGCGGAGCTGATGAGTGTGTATTCGGAGATGTCGAGCATCAGCGGGGTGTTGTCGCAGTGTCGAAGGTGTGGTTGTGCTAAATGAATGTGGGATGGAAACGGTCGCAAAGGTCGATTCGGTAGCACCGCATGGTCGTGGTGTGGATGGAATGTGGAACAAGGGAAGCTCCTGCTTGAGCTGCACGAATTGCGCGGGAAGGCCCCACACCTCTGTGGCAGAAAAAAGCAGGCGGTGTACAGCGACAGCCGGATGGCTTCTTATCGATAAGCGGGGCTTCGGAGCCGGCTGGCCTTCCGGATCGTCGCCGGGTCACCTGACGACCTGCCATGGGTCGACCTTGCGCAAATTAACTTTTTGGACATGCACTCCGGACCAGAAGAGGTAGGCCATGGTAGACATGTCATTATTGTCATCTCTCTCGCCCAAACATCCGATTGCGTTGGCTTTGCGACGTTGATGTAGGGGAGCGGAGGGAGTCCCCGTTTTACCCGCCCGGTGTCCACCACTCTGTCCGAAAAGGAACCGATTAGGTGATTTCCCGCCGATATAACGCGTTGGCACCTCGTGGGTCCAAGACTTGTTGTCTATAGTTTAAAGAGCGGTCACTAGATCATTCTTCCGTTGCATAGCACCTAAGGTCATCCATGTCTCACAGACCATGACGATCCCATTCACCGTCAAGAAGATCGCCATCATCGGCGCGGGGCCGACGGGTCTCGCAGCCGCTCGGTACCTCACGGCGCAGGGGGTCTTTGACTCCGTGGTCGTGTTTGAGCAGCAAGCCGAGGTGGGCGGTGTCTGGAACTACAGCCCGCACCCGACCACATCTCGTCATGTGCCGCAGACGGACCCCTTTTGCCCGCAGGACCCTCCGCTCCGGCCGGGCAAGCCCGATGCGCCGCCCGTGTTCCCCACACCAATGTACGGCACGCTGCACGCCAACACGGTCAAGACGACAATGAACTACAAGGACACGCCGTTCCCAGACGACGCCTGGGTCTTCCCCTCGCGGCAGTCCATTTACAACTACCTGGTCGAGTACGCCAAGGACGTCCGCCACCTCATCAAGTTCACGCACCAGGTCACGGCGCTTGAGCTCCGCCAAGAGGACGGCCGAGACAGGTGGGACCTCGGGGCCGCGTGCACCATCACCGGCCGCAAGTTCAGCGACACGTACGACGCCGTAGTCATTGCCAACGGACACTACGACATCCCCTTTATCCCGAACGTCAAGGGCATTCAGGCCTTTCACGAGGCGCATCCGTCAGCAATCCTACACTCCAAGAACTACCGCGTGCCGGAGCCCTTTTCAGGCAAAAAGGTGATTGTCATCGGCAACGGGCCCTCGGGCTTGGATATAGCCCGCCAGCTCAGCCCGGTCTCGGACAGGGTGTATCTGTCTGTACGACATGCGACTCCGCCGGACAAGGTCGAGCACATTGGGGTGACGGAGGTTCCAGAGATTGTGGAGTATTTACCAGAGAAGAGGGCCGTCGTCTACAAGGACGGGACAGTGGCGGAAGATGTCGACGCCGTCATCTACTGCACCGGCTTCTTCTTCAGCTTCCCATTCTTGCCCGAGTTCCTCAAGCCAAATCTGTTGACGACCGGCAAAGGCGTCAGGGGCCTGTACCAGCACCTGTTCCTCATCAAGCACCCCACTTTAGCCTTTGCCGGGCTGCTGGTCAAGACAGTGCCCTGGCCCGTGGCGGAGAACCAGGCGGCGGCTCTGGGTGCGGTCTGGTCCAACGGGTTGAAGCTGCCGCCTGTGGAGGAGCAGGAGAAATGGGAGCTGGACTTGTTCAAGAGGCGCGGCGACAAGAACATTCACGTGCTGCTCGACGACGGAGACGACGGCCGCCACCTCAACATGTTGCACGATTGGGTGGCGGAGTCGACGCAGAGAGGCAAAGAACCGCCATACTGGCACGACGAGCAGTTCTGGGAGCGCGGTATCTACTGGCCAAGCAAGCAGGAGTTTGAGAAGCGAGGAGGGAGCGCGACGAGTCTTCGGGAGCTTGGCTTCGTGTACCCCGGCATAGGGAAATGGAGGCACGTTGCGCCGAAGCTTTGATGGGCCACAAGCATAGAATCTAGATTTAGCGAATGCAAGACTTCACGATTCCCAGGATGAGCAGGATGATGACTGGCTGCGATCGCGAGACAATGGCGCAACGTCCAAACGCTGTCACTCCAGTGACATGGGAGGTCCAGAGCTCCCTTGACAGTATCCGCCCTCTGGAGCTCCTTTGAGAGTCAAGCTCAAACAACCCCTCGTGTTCAATCTGAGAGCTCCAGGATGAGGTAACCGAATGCAGGGTAGCGGGACAGGGGGAGCTGTCAGGCGAAATGGTACCGAGCGCGTTTCCGGGCCAGCGAGCGACTGTTTAATGACGACGGGTGGGACACTTTTTTTCGGTTGACAATCTGAGGAAATGAGCAGAACCGGACTCCGTACGCTGGAGTCAGTCGCGTCTTGGCCAGCTCTCGTGCGATGGAATAATCCTTTGGTCATCGCGATCTGCTGGTGCGTCCGTATGAATCGAGGTCGAGGAGGCTCCTTGGCATACAAGTATCCCACGGTTCGACGGCTGGCGATGCGTCTCTGTCCAATCATTCCGGGTCCCCCAGCTGGATGCGTGATAGCAGGGCAAATAAGGTGACCGCAGTGGGGGGATTGATGATCGCCGGAAGCGATGGAAGCAGCCGATGGGCTGGCGCCACGCTCTGACTTTGTCCGCCTGGCGTGGCTGATCAAGCTGCAAAGTCTGCGCCTTGAGTTTGCCAGCTCGCCACTAGTGGTAAAGCTTGCCGACAGCTTTCAGAGCTCTCTGGCAGTCTAGGTTGACATTCGCCGTCCGTGACCACGGCCGTGGGCCATGTTACCGTGCAAAACATGCACGTCTGGCAGGGAAACTCTCTGCATCCGAGCGTCGAGTGGCAGTGTCGTGCAGCCTGCCATCTCATGTCGTGGAGAGAACGTGCGAGGGTACAGAGTGGTGTCTGGAAGATGGCCAATGTGTGTTCACGTCAACCTAGCTGGGAACGCGAGAATATCGCGAATGCAGAATCAGAGCCCAAAGTTCTGTCAAGGACTCCCGGGCAGCATGCTGGCCCAGGCGGTGGCTGCATCAAGTCGAGACAGGGACACCCATCGAAAGCCCAGCATGACGGGCACGGAAAGACGTCAAGATGCGGCGGACGCATCACATAGTACCACTCTAGGGCATGGATGTTCTCTGCAGCCATGCAGGAAGCGGATAGCACCAGGGTCTTCAGCGACGCGCAGTCCGGTTCCTTTCTAACGCGCCCCCAATGCAAACGGCGCAAAGGCCGTCTCGCGACACGTCAGGATGTGCAGTGCTAGAGGCGAGTTGCCGTGGCAGTCGAAGCTGCTGTGGGTGCTGTATCCGTACAGCTGTAGAGAAACCAGAAAGGCACGGACGATGCAGACAACGACTACGCGGACGATGCGGATGGACGTGGAGAGATGTCGGTGGCCGAATCGATAGTTGTGATATTATTAGGAGCGTGTGTTGGATTGTCGAGACCAACTGGGCTGGACTGGCTGGCGAAAGCCGCGAAAGCGCGTTTGCATGACGGGGGTGCTCTGGAGGCCTATTAACCCAGAACAGCGGCCACTCCACCCCATCATCCACACACATCGCCGCATTGGTGGACCACCACGACGCCCAGGTTCTTTTCAGGTGGCAGGACAGGCAAGAGGTACCTCGCCCACTGTTGTCCCTGCCTTCGGGTACCTGACTTTGGTCCGCATTCCCACTGGGCGTGGTGGATGGCCCAGCACAAGGACTACAAGGTCCCTGGCCATCCCCGTATGCGGCAACCAATATCCATCAAATCTCATTAATAAATCTCCTCTTTCTTTCGACAACGCCAGACACCTAATCTCCTTTTGCCGACTGCTCCTTTGCCTTTGCGCCTTGCCCTTCCCTTCTTCCCCCAGTGTCATCTGTCGTCTCATCGCGCCAGCTTCAATTCTCTAACCTCGCGAAACATCCTCGTTCTTTCACCAACGACCTTCCTTTGATCCGCTTCTCTCTTTGAATCCTCACCAGCGACCTTGTCTACCTCACCTATCCGTTCTTTCTTATTCTTCAGCAACGCAGCTGCCTTCGAATCCCCGCTCCCTTGCATCCAGGAACCGCGCCGCGCCCACGACCACTGACGTCTGCCGTCTGGAACATCCTGCAACCACCCGAGCTACAACCCGAGCAATCGACGTCTTTCCAGCAACATTCAGAGACCAGAGCCAGGAACGCGAGACACCACCGAGACATCAGTCAGCCGGATAGGGACGTCCATGATTGTCAACAAACACCACCGATGATCCACGACATGGCCATGCGCATCCAAGACGTCTTTTTCCCAGGTTCATAGAAGCAAAGGTCATGCCTGCCTACTCGACAGATCAACCGCTCGTTCGACAACCGACAACAACTACTCAGCAATCAATATCATGACCGATCCTCCGCCACCCATCACCCCGGGGCCGGGCCACCAGCTACGCCCGGCCAGGCGCCAGTACCGCCACTCCGACGAGCACTCGCCCACCCGTGCCCGAACCAACGACGACCTCTTGAGCCGCCTTACACCACTGACCGCCGTCGAGATGCTCCAAACACCAAACACTGAACTAAAACAATGCCTCGACAACTCTACCGTCAACGAACAGGAATTCGCCATGCGCGCCGCCGTGGCCAGCCGCAAGATTTACGAATGGCTGGAGGAGCTTTCCGACTGGCCCTGGCCTTCCGCCAGCGGCTCGGCCGGTTTTGAGGTGCCAGAGGCAAAGCGGACGAAACTCGACGAGGATGCCGACGAGTCGGTGTACCTCGGGAGCCTACCCGCCGAGAGCGTCGCCCAGTACGAGCAGCGCGTGGACGGCATCTCTCACGACATGGACGAGCTGCACATTGAAGAAATCAAGACCCACGTCATGCACACCCACATCATTCCGCTTTCGAGACCCGGAACGCCGTTGTCTCCGACGCGGCCCATTGGAGGCGGATCACTTACGTACAACCGAATGGACGACTTGACGGCTCTCCTCACGGCAATCATCGTCCAGGCACTGCCAAATCTGTCCAAGCTCTGCCGACTGCTGAAAGTCTGGCACATCCGCCTCTCTGTCCTCCGTCGCATACCCGATCTGCTGTCTGGCATTGCAGAGGCAGAGTATGCCCTCGAGTCGGCATGGAACGTGCTGTCATCTCCCGCGGGAACGCCATCCGCCGAAGAGGGAGCCCAAGACACCCACTCCCAACTCAAACACGCCGTCACTGTTGTCAAGTCAGTGTTGGAGACGCAAATCACAAAATCCGGACGCAGCCTCGATTTCATGCTCGACAGTCTCGAGGGGCTGCAGGATACACTGCCCGACGCCTGGCTTGACCGTATGGAAGCCGTCGAGCGCAACTACGCCGACTGGGTGACCTCAGGCGAGCAGAGGATTCGACAAGGGGACTGGGCTAGCGTGCGTCAACAGAAAGCGCTTCCACCGGTGATCAGAGAAGAGGCCGAGGCGGAGCCCACGAAATCCATTGGCCTGCCTGTTGTGGACGACGATGTCATCACTCTGCCAGTGCCCATCACCATTAACCCACCCGAAGAGGACAGCCAGCCTGCCTCTGATGATGAGGCCACTCCGGAGCAGTCTGACGGTTCCGAGGACGACACAATCGAGCTGTCTCCCTCGCAACTGCAAGCGCAGAAGAAGACGCAGCCAGTCGCCGGCCTTGACGGCTCCAGCGAGGCTACAAAACCCAAACGGACGCCACTGGGCGAAGTGCAAAACGAAGAAAACACCAAAAGAAAGGCGTCAGGCAAGGAATCCGTCGTGTCGAAGCTTAGAGCAGTCTTTGAAAGCAACGCCAGGTCCAGCTCTGACGACGCGGACGAGATTTTGCCCGATGATGAAGAGATGCAGCTGCCACCGCTGATCCGACCCGACCGACGCGGAAGTGACGCTTCGGACTCGTCTACAATCATCCATGGCCACACGAGCCTGCTCGCAGATGCCTCGAGCGACATGCCCGAAGTCTCAGCATCGCCTCCTCTGCCACGCCAGAAGCGTGCCGAGACCCTGGGCCGTAAGTCGGCTGCTGACCGCTTCATGAGCATGAGCCCTCCCAGCTCTCCCCCGTTCCGGCCGAGTTATAGAGAAGACAGCGTGAGTCCTATGGTAAGGCCCCAAGACGAGGGTCTTCTGCCGGCCCTCCCTCTGGAGTCGTCATTCAACGAAGACGACTTTGATCACTCCTTTATCAGCATGGAAACGCCACGAGAGACCGGCAACAAGGAAGATGACCACCTCCGAAAGCAAATCAGCGACATTCTAGAGTCTATCCCCGCCAACATCAAGCTGGCCAGAGCTACACCCAAGGTGGACTTGAACCCGCCGCCGCCCGATCTGCCCACCCTGCCGGCCAAGAGGCTCAAGAAGCCATCCCGGGAGACCATGCGGAGGAGCGTCTCTGCCATGTCGACGACATCGCGGACATCTTCGCGGGCGACGACGCCGTGGCTGACGCTTGCTCCCGCATACGCCAAGAACCCCAGGCCCAGACGCCCTGGGAGCGGACAAGACGTCAGGGTCTACCACCTCTCGCGGTCCACCGGCGAAGCACCCATCAAGCTCCTCATCCGCTGCGTCGGCGAGCACGGCGAGCGTGTCATGGTGCGTGTCGGGGGTGGATGGGCCGACCTCGGCGAGTACCTCAAGGAGTACGCCTCGCATCACGGCCGGCGCTCTGCCGGACCGGTAGAGAAGGCCGAGATCAAGGTCCAGGACTTGCCGCGTGCGAGCAGCCGTGCCGCGAACTCGAGCCCGCCGAGTCGGCCAGCCTCCGCGCTGGAAATGTCACCCATGACGCCGCTCAACGTCAGAAAGTCTAGAAAGTCTTTTGGCGCCGGCGACTCATCGGTGCCCCGGCTCCTCCCCAACACGCCTGCCGTCCCGCCGATCCCGGACAAGTTCACGCCCACGCCGTCGTCGGAGGACTCCAACCGGTCCCGGTCGAGCTCTCACATCAGCTGGGAAGAGGACGAGAGCTCGTTCCTTGGCCTGGCAGGACCCACTGGCCGCAAGGTCGAGATGAGCGAGGAGAATCGGGCGTGGGTGGAGAGCGTCAAGGAAAAGGTGCGTGCCGCTAGCGGCGAGACGCGCAAGATTTCAGAGTTTGGCGATATGGGCAAGGTCGGCGGCACGAAGCGTGTGTTTCGGAAGGGCTAGGCTGGGGGTCTGAATTGGCGTTTACAGCGACTTGGGGTGCTAAGAGATATCGACACGATGGGACGGAGTCAAGCGACTGGTGTCGAAAGCATACCATGACGGAAACATTTCATTACATCATATCGAGGCAGGGGGGAACGCTTCATCACAACGGCATAGCATGGCCTGGTTTTTTTTTTCCACATTTTCTTCCGGTTGTCTTCATCATCCCCTCGAGCGCAGGATTTCCTTTTGCGGTCCCCGTCATTCTTCGTACGAATACCCCTTTTTTTTGCTTTGCCTTGAGGCATGTGCCCGGGCATGTGCTAGGCATAGAGAGTCAGATAGTTGAAATGCCAGAAAACCATTTTATATTACCGAGGTGTTGCGTGAAGGTGAAGATGGCAGCGATGGAGGCTTGAGGTGGATTGGATGCGCAGTTCCGTCGGTAGTCGGAGGAGGTCGGGAGGCTCCGGGTATAGTCCCGCGTGGGGGCCGGGGCCTGACATGAGGCAGTACCACGCACATGGGAGGAGCAACGTCGTTGCAACCCCGGACTAACGCAAGTGCGGAGGATCACGGGGCATGACGGCAGATCCTCCATCCACCTCACCACCACCACCATCACCACCCCTGTCCGCCGTACCATCCACCCGTCCACGCTATCCACAACTTTACCTTGCATGCACCATACTCCGCGCCCGCCCGCTCCATCCCCAGATAGAAATGTACGGTGCACAAGACCGGGGCCGGGCGGCGTAATCAAGCTTCGCCGATGGAAGTGGTGTGGGGAGAAAGCGACTGCAAAACGACTGGGGGGGGTTCTCGGTTTTTCTCACCACAGTACAGAACAGGTAGTTACATAGTGTACTTTTCTCAACCCCTACAGGGATGATGGCACAGCTCTCTCAACATCTAGACCGAGGCACCGGCGCGGGGGGGGTTGGAACCGGCCGAGGGACCTGATCTGAGGTGAGAAAACGGTGCCGCGGGCTGGGGAGATGTGGGAGAGGGG